GAATTTGATGATATAAATGTCTTTCCTAACCTCAGTGATTCTCTGGTTCTGGGTGCTTACTGCTGTTTTTCCGAAGCTCTCTGGCACTGGCTGACCCTCTGGATCAGTAGCACAGGCAGCTGCAGCCCCAGGCCTGCTCTCCTTGGCGCTCACACCTCCCAGCTGGCACTGGCACAGAGCTGGGTCCGTGATTCTGTCCTGGCACAGTCTCCCACACGCCCGGCACTTGGCTGAGGGCTCCTGTGGGTGCAGCTGCTGCTGTGGGAGCAGGGGCAGAGCATGGGGCTGGCCACAGCTCACCCACCTCACACAGAGAGCCAGGGACCGCGGTGGGCACTGCAGGGGCCTGCGGGATAATTGCATCTCAGGTTATGCAGCCCCTTTCAACCGAGGAATTTAAAAGGTGTCCAGATGAGCTTTCTACAGAGAAAAGTAGTTAAGGCACCAGTCTGAGGTCTCTCAGGAGATGCTGGTCGCCTTGTGGGATGAAGCCCTAAATCTATCAGCGGGAAAAGCGAGATAAGGAGCGTTCCTGCAGAGCTATTCCCAAACCATCCCCATTCTCCCTCCACGGCCCCTTCCTGTGCTCGTTTGTTTCCAGGAATTAATTGGCCTGCTGTTGAGAAAGGCGGCTTCGCCCCGGTTCCCAGCGCGGCCGTGAAAGGAGCGGGGGCATCGGCGTCCAGCCGCGCATTCAGGCGGGGACAGGAGCTTCCCTCACACCTGCTGTGTGCCACAAAGGGCCTGCAGCTCGGCAGGGGCCACGGCCTCGGCCCCCCTCCCTCCCTCAGCTGGGCCAAAGTGAACAAAAGCGGGGACTTTGTCTCCCCTCTCCTCAATCCCAAGGCCAGGGCCAAGGAGGAGGCAGTGAGCTCTTGCACTGCCACCTCTCTCCTGCTCCCTGCTCCCTCTCAGCTGTGCTGTGTGGGCGGCCCTGCCTTCTGGCAGGGCTGTTCTTCACTGGGACTTCAGAGAAATTCACTCACTGCCACAATACACGGCTCTAGTCCACTTGCCTTTTACATATTTGGGTCCCTGTATTCAGAGCTGTTAAGACACTTTAGTTTTTTTTAATTCCTAAACACTTCTGAAGTGCTGGCCTCCAGTTTAGCAGCTTGCAACCTTATTGGAAGAGCAAACTACCAAGCAAAACTCCAGTCAGCCTCATACACTTAATTTCCCTAAGCTCCCTCAGCATCTAGCAAGGAAAGAGGCCCTTTCTGACATCTTTCAGATTTGCAAAATTAGCCCTCTAGTTTGAATCACCTTCTGAATGGACTCGTCATGCTCCATTGACTACAGAGGGAGCTTAAGGACAGCCTCCAAGATTAACCTTCGACCCCACACACAGGGGTGGTGGATGCTTAGCACTGAGAAACTGCATGAAAGCCTCTGAATCAAAGGTGTTAACTGAGAGTGCATTACCAAACTACAGCATAAATCACAATAATGGCTGTTACATCCTTCTTGTAATTGCTGCTAGTAACAACAGCAAGTATATTTCTGGATTTAAGATCAGACTGTTTTTCATCTCCCCTGATGAAGTCTCTAGAGACCTGTAGCATAAATGCTGCAAAGTAGGAAGGTGGCTGCCTTCTCCATTGCCTTTTTCTTACTCTGCTGCACCACTTTATTGTGACCCGCATGTGCAAGGCTGCAGGGCACCCTGCACTGAAAGAAAATTGACTGGTCTTTTTTCTTTGCATGTGAGCAGAGAGCAGTAGCTTATTTAGGGAGCTTTCCTGATAAGACAGCAAGTAGCAGTTGTGATAACCCAGGCCCAGCTCAAATTCAGCTACTTACAAAACAGTGTTTATCCGAGGGAGGCTATGTTTTGTCTCTGAGACACTCAGTTATACAGGGGGTGTGATGGACCCCTGTCAGCAAAGGAGGACAGCAGCAAAGAGAACAAACATGGCACTTCATTCCCAGCTAAAGATAAATGGAGACCTGGTCTTGCCACCCCTTTTGGCACTGGGAAGTGTTCTGATGAGTCAGTGGGACTAAGTGCACAGCACTCATGCAAATTGTTACAGGACTGAGATATTACATATTTTAGGATCTTTGCACATTTTATCATGAGTCTCAAAACATTTTTCCATGCTGAAAATGGGCCAGTTCACATTTGGAATACATTCAAAACCAGGTCCTGAATTGAGCATAAATCTTTTTTAGTATATCTTGTCAGATATACTAAAATATATGTGTGTGTGTGTGTGTATATATATATATATGACCTATATATTTTTATATGTCAGATATACTTGGCTTACCTTGCAGCCATTTCCAGCAATCAGCCAGGCAAATCTATATTTGGGACAGGATTCTTCAGCATGCCCCAGTCTGTGTCCTTTCTTGTGTCTTTTTCTAATACAAGTACCCAGTTTCTGTTATGTTGATCTTTACATCAAGGGATTCTATTAACACTTTTCAAAATCACTTCTCCCCAGAACTTCTTCCCAGAACTTCTAGCCCCACAGAAGTTTAAAGACTATTTACAACAGTGACTCCATGTAATAAAAATTTTAAAAAATCAATGTAATAAAAAAGCTTTCAGCCAGAAAGCCCCCACATAATTATATAGGTGCAGAACACTTTTATTAGGAACAGTAGGGTTTTCAAAATTGTGTAACAGTGGGGAAAAGACCTGTATATCAAAATGCAAGAGTATGCAATTATCATTATGGAAAGATCTTTGCTTTTCCCCCACTGCCAACATAAACCACTTTTCTCATCTGCCTCCAGAAACACCAGTAATACTCCAGTAATAAAATCTCCTAAAGAGCTGTTAATTCATTGAAAACAATGTTTTTAAGGCAGATTTTTTTGTGTGTGTTTTGGTCTTGTAAAGATTTATGTACTGAGCAGAACAAAACAATTGTTACTGAGCTTTTCAGATATGATTTCACTTTTTGCTCCCGTGGTAGAAATGGTGAAAACCAGCAAATGAAAAGTGTTAACTAAGAAAGCAGTGACTGAATAAACACAAACAAAAAACATTCTTTGCCAATGGAGACAATAATTTCAATGATGATTGTGTAGCAACAAAGCCTTCTGTAACTCAGAGTACCCAGTAAGGATGGAGAGATTTTTTTGTAAAAGATACTCTCTGTGTGTATGCATATTTATATTTCATGTCAAATTTCATTTGACCAGAAGTAGAATAATCTTTCTTCAGAAATGCTCCCAGTGAAGATTTTATAACAGAATTGTGTTTTACTACAAGATTACAGGGGTTTTTTTCCTCCATTTGGGTTTCACTGAGGACAATTAGTACCGTCTAACTCAGAAAAACAGAGGGAATCTCCTGTAGGCAACTGCCCATATCACCATAAAATAATGAACAAAAACCTGGATTACTGCTTTGTGAGAAAGTTTGATCCCGAACATGTAGAGTTCATTTTGCAAATCCTCTGCTTTCTGTGAAAATCAGGTGTTGCTGCATCATCTACAAGGCAAGGAATGAAGTGATGGTGTCTGTGTGTCTGTGCAAGGGTGACCATCACGCATTTGAGTATTAATTACAAATCTATCATGTACAAGGCCAGAGGGATGATGAAGTGCAAAACAGGCTTTGAACTTCAGCTGTAGAGTGCACCAGAGCTCTGGGGTCTTAAAGTTCTCAAAATGGCTTTGTGCTGCTAGTAGATACTTTCCTGCAGACATCTCACCCCACTCAATTCTGGAGTCCTCCTTCCATCCAGACCCACCTGAGGAAACCACAATTCCCAAAAGTCTGGGGTGGAAAGTGGCAGCAGAACTTGGCTCTCTTCTGCATGAAGTCCTCTCCATTCATGTACTCCATACATAACAAAAAAGAGGCCATGTAATGGCAGAGATGGCCTCCTAAGACCCTGTTCCAGGAAATCAACCCACCCTAAAAGAATGGGTGCAAAAGCTCTTTTCCATGTTTATAGCTCAGTCAGCATCTGAGGACAGAGGTGGGAAGGACATGAGAAATCCAGAAGTGTGTCTCCTGCATGTTGGGGCCTAGGGAAGCTAACCTTGACTTTACACACTCCTCAAGCAGTTCACATTTACTGACAGGATCAGATATCTCACATGGAAGTACATGAGCATCTTAAAACTCTCTCACTAAAGACAGCAAAATTTGTCACTAACTTTTGCAACTTTGTATTTGTAAATTTGTAACTAATTTTGCAAGCTAAAATTGTAACTAACTGCTAAGCAGCATATTACAAAGGAATTAGCATTTTTCTTTTGTAATTAAACAATAGTGAGCACTTGGTCTCCTTTCCAAGGATAGGGTTTAGGTTTCTGAGTCCATTAGTGGTTTGAAGAATGTACTGTCAGTTTTCATACCTCACAATACTTAATTTGCTTCCAAACAATTTTAGAAGCCTGTATCAATCTCCTTATCTTGTAAAAAATGTGAAGCATCTCCCTCTTTTGACAGTGACCGATGGAATGGTTTTCATGGAGTAATTAACTACTTATTCTAAGGTTTTAACTAGTAGTTGGACATGAAAAAAACCCAGAGAAATTGGAGTGTAGCTTCTTTGTTCTCTCTTGAGTCTTAATCACCTCTCACCAAACACACACACACACATAACAAAGTCATTGTTAAAGTAAAACAGCATGAGCATGACAGGGCTGGGAATAAGGGCTTACTACTGCTTACCTGATCGTTTAATTTCTTTAAAAAAATCGAAGTCTTCATCTTTAATCCATCATTGTGTCAATATCACACGGGATGAAATAACTGTATACTGAAACAAGCTGCTTAAAAGAACTGAAAAGTGCCAGGAAATTGGGACAGACAGGCTTTAGTGGGCACAAACCAAAATTCCTGCTAGATTCACTTCCTGGCAGACCTCTTTCTACAGACTAAAACTTTTTCTAAATTTACAAATCTGTTTGTGTGACAAGCAACACCTATAGCTGATAAAAATTAGAATAACAAAGAGATACCATTAGGTACTGAGAATTAATTTAAGAAACTCCAGAAACAGTTCCCACAACCAAATGAGGACACCACATGTCTGTGTATTAGTTTATTTAATTCTTTATCGCCACTAAGAGCAAGTAAATTATGCTGATACAATTGGTAAACATATACATTCGCTAGAGCCCCCCCAAAATCCCACAGAGCTAAGGGAAACATTAAGGGATGTTACAGGATTAATGCTTTCATTCTACAATATGGATATATGGCTTTCATACAAGTTTTAAAAAATTGAAAAGGTAACACACTGCTAGCTTACAAAATCAATATACAAACAGGAAAAAAAACCAAGAGGAAAAGGAACAGGAAAAGAAAGTAACCCATAGGAAGATATCATATAGCACTGGTTTAATAGATATATACAGAATTAGAAATCCATTGAACATGATATTCAGGCTTTGTTATTTTGACTTTCATTTCTCCTTTCAGTTTACTCAAACTACAAGAATTAATATGGTTTCTCTCTTATTTTTTCCATCTTATTTTACCCATTTTCCTCACTTTTTATTGGCAGAGAAAAAGACTTTTCCTGCCTATGTTTCTATGTTCACACCTTAACTTTGAAGCTTTGAACAATGTCTTTGTGTGTACTTGGTGTGACAGAAGAGAACATCACTGTGATAGTAAGTCCTTTTGGCCATTTCATTGGCATGTGTTTTGCATTTCCCTTGGACACAGCTATCCTTAAACTGAAGTGCTGGCAAGTGGGAAGAAATCTAGCTCTTCATCCTACTTGTGTATCCTCACTTAAATAACAGCACAGGACAAAAAGCTCCTTCATTTCAACCACAGCCTGAAAACGTGGCAGCACCGGTCGTGATTCGCATTCAGAGTTATGCATGCACCTTTCTAGAGTTCTGCTCCCCCCTGTATGAATGTGTAGATATATAAATACATATATATATATATATATATATATATGCAGCGTGCACGTGTGTGTGTTTAAAGAGCTGCTGTGTCTGATGCTGACAGCTGCTTTAGGTGGATTCTAGCTCTAAGCTGCAGCCTGTCTCTTCCTCAGGCCGCCTCAGCAACCACAACACACTCTGGACTACCCCAGCCATTTCCTTCAGCTGTAAAAGTCCAGATGAACTGAGTAATTGTAATATAGGGAGTGCAGTGAATGACCTAATGAGAAAAGTTAAATAATGTCTTGTTGCCAGGTAGATTAGAGTGAGAGAGGTCAATCAGCGAAATTAATTGAATGAAATTTGCTGTGGGTAAGACAGCCCTGCAGAGGCTACCCATTTTCCTAGCTTTCTGTCACTGAATTCAGGATTAAATGTTTTGTACTTTAAACATTTTAACTTTAATTTACATTTTAACTTTCAATTACTTCAGAAATGGGAATACTTGTGAGCCTCTGTTTTTATCTCACCAATAAATCCACTCATTGGACAGTTGTCAGTTTTGTTGTGGGTTTTGCTTGTTATGATGGGGTTTTTTTTAAGAAAGGAGTCAAATCTGTAAGTACAGGTTTTTTCATATACAATTCACTCAAAGCTAAGTGATTTAAAGGCTAGGAGGTACTTACAGAGTTCTTTAGCCATGTGGGACTCCAAGCACTCCATATTTAAATGGCAAACTACAGAAAGGGCTAAAGGATTGCACAACCCCAGCAATGAGATAATAATAGTCAAATATAGTGGAATTCTCATGTTTTCCCAGAATTTTGCTCAGTTCAGAGTGATGAGGCCACAAGACAGACAGCCATTTGTGAAGAGTAGCAGAAAGGGGCCATTAGGAAAATCATTAGATTTGAGCATTGTTTAGTTCTTGTCCAAAAGCAAAGTTTGATGCTCCTATGAATGAGACTACCTACATCTTCTCCAAATGCAAACACCCAGGGGTAGAAAAGGCTCTCTCCATGCTCCACACCTGCTCAGGCAGGCAAGGCTTTAACTATCCATGAAACTCTGTGCACCATGATAATTTGATGATAAAAGGGGACAGTGTAAAGGATACAGCTTTTTACCCCTATTTGTCTAGTTAAGGTGTTTTTCTGTTTTCTGGAATTTTGTTTGTTTGTTTGTTTGAAGGCAGACACTCCTGCATCAATGTCTCTGATTTCAGAGATGAACATTTGATAATTTCTATTCCCTGGGAAGCTTTGACAAGCTTATGATGAAAGTTTTACCAGGAATCCACCCTCCCAGGAAATCCAGGGACTCTTTTTTGCTCATTATCATATTTCCTTGTTCATTGTCATACAGTGATTAACAAGTTGCTACTGTGTCTTTTAATTTCAGAAGTACACAGCTGGAGGAAATTGATGGTATGGGCTTCCTGGGGCTGTTTTGCAACAATCCAGGAAGAAATGGAGAATGTAGGCTCAAGGATGAGGAAAGATCAGCAAAATCCACAGAAGTTTAACTGAGAAGTAGTATGCCTCAGAAGAACTGACAGAAAACCTACAAATGCTATCAAAATTATGGATAAGAGTGGAAAGGCAGGCAACAGGTATAGCCTGTCTCTGCAAAGAAGAGAACTCAGTCTCAACTTCAGAGAAGTGCTGTCCTAGAGAATTAAAATGGATTTGATACAAAATACCAACCCCCACTGACATACTGCTTCCCCTCCTCAGTAGGATTTGGGAGACATGGAAGACTGCTGTGTGGTACCAAAGTGGTGTACACCTCACCAATATATTGCTTTAGAAAAGTGTTTACATACTTAATGTCACTGCAGTTCCTAGACTGAGGGAAAATCAAGTTGTTGTCCCACCCTCAAAATTGACATTAGCCTATATATTATTGTCTCCTTTTGACTGCCTCCACTTGAACATTTTCTTTTGAGGCTGGAGTGGGACCTTGCTTCTCTGCAAGACTTTACATTTTATTTGTTTTCATTAAGGCACAAATCAGGGAAAGCATAAAAACAAATGTGCCAACCAGTAGTTCTGCCCTCTGCACATAAGAAGCATGCAACAGAAATTGATAAAAAACGCTCCTGACTTCCTATCTGTCTCTTCTTGACCAACTCTCCAAAGCTGCCTGTATATATATTTTATAATTGTTATTCTTCCATTTCTTCTATCTTTTCTCCTTTGAAAAACAGCCTAGAATGTCATTATGGAATTAGAAGAAGAAAATCAGTAAATTACAATTTAGTATCTACCTGCATGTACAAGAAACATTTTCCCTTCCTGGAGCCTTTCCCAGAAGTTTTGCTGCACTTAACAGACTGTTAAATAGGCCAGGCTGAGAAGCAATGACTCTCATTTACTATGGGCATTTCTGTCAGAAGACATGTCTAAGTCAGAAAATGTCCCAGTCCTCAAATACTTCTTTAAATCAAGATAGAACTGAAAGAAGCATTGCCTCAGCTTAATTAGAGAAAGGGAAGAGAGATATACCTAAATATACCCAAATATATTCAGGTTTAAGCTCACTGGAATCCACAGTCTGGGTGCAGATTCATCCATAGTTGATGTTCAGCAACTCACCCATCTCTTTCCTAAGAGATTTGAGTGCTCAGAAAAAGGCTGTCATTTCAGGGATTTTTATCACCTCCCCACACTCCATTACAGCTGTAGCAAATGAAGATGTAAACCACTCCTCAAGAGGGACATTCATGAAAAAAATTTCTGTCTGTTAAACTAGGTAAGCAACACATCTATGCTAAGTCATTTTTCACTGTAATAGGATAGCACCAAGAGGGTAAACACGTTTTTCATCTGAAGTAGCTGCTCCCACAGCACTGTCAGAGAAGCTTGCCCTCCCAAAGCAGGGAGGGGAGAAGATTAGAAAGCAAATAAGGAGAAGTTTCAGAATGACTGAAGTAGAAACTGATCAAGATGGGTGGGAAGAGGTTTTGTTCAGAATCTTGCCTTTTGCTTTCTTGATAATGTCTCTAGTGAAACAAGGGCTCCTTCTATTTGTTGGGAGCCTCCTTTTAGACCTGACCTGACTGACCTATTCAATCTTCCTCCTCTGTGTTCTGCCATAAATTACTTTATCACCTCCTGCATAGCTAGACTTTCCACTGAATGTTTTCTTCTGGCTTATTGGAAATTTTCTTTGTTTTAAATTTGTACAGTATTACTCCAATTGCTGTCAGCAATAAGATGCCAAAATAGATTCGAATATATGTGGCTGAGTCGCACATAAGAAATGTTCTCCTATTTCACACCCCTTGCTGCATTTTCTTCTGGTATTTTTTCGTTTTGTTTCCTTGTTTTCTGTAAACTCTCTCCATGAAGGCCCTATGCCACCATGGGAACATTACTGGCTTCCTTCAAAAACTATTAGGAATGTTCCTTTAACAAGCCAGATGGGCAATTAAACAAAAGGACCATAAGGTGTCAGAGGAAACACAGGGGGATTTATTGTTTTTATACTCACAGAGGTGGAAATAAGAAGTCACATCTAAGGTTTGCTAAAGGACAATTGAAGTGTTGGTCTCAACATCATTCCCAATTCCTGCCAGCTCCCTATGAAACATGGACTAGATTAACCAGTGTGAGACAATGGTGCAACAGTGTTTGCACTCAAAGCTGAGCCACTTTAAGTGAACTGATGCAGCATTTAGACAGACAAACCTTTGGTGATTGAAAAAAAGTTTCCTTCTCCCTTTGCTTTCAATCAGACCTACCAAACCATTAGTTTAAGTCTGAGGCACAAGCACAGGTAGACCTGATTAGACAATGAAGAAACCAAATAGCACCCAGAACCACCTAAATATGAGCCTTTATGATTTCAGATTTGGTCATTGCACATCCACCATGTGTGGGGGACATTTTTAACTATACCACGGACTCAAGTATGTCTAACAGCACAGTCAAAATAACAAGGACATCAACACAGACTGCAAAACACACCCAAGGAGTCTGGTAAATAATTGTGAGGCTAGTCTACCTTAAGCTATGTGCAGCCTTGGTTAGCAGGCTTCAGGAGTGTTTGTGTTTGGGAACAGAAGGACTTGCCTCACCGTGAGTCCAGATCAGCCATACCCTCCACCTGAGAAAGAAGAGGGCGAGCTCTACAATTGTTACAAGGTTTTTTTGCATAGAAAAGGGGAGTGATGTTAGTATGAAAAACAAACCAAAACTCTGTTTGTCTACAAGCTAATCCCAAGAGAGAAATGTGATTTACTCAGAACACAGCCTGCAGCAGCTTCACTGAAGTCAGTGGGTGCCATGCAGGAGTAAAAGGGAGACTATTCCTCTTGACCAGCAGGCAAGCCTGCAGCCTACACAAATGGCAAAGCTTATTTCTTGCTGCTGAATTTTAAGATTTAGAATTCTGAAGCAATGATTTTGGACTTAATTTGGGCACTGAAATCCCTCATGTTTCCTCTAAAAATTTTGGTCTGCTTGTTGACAGCTCATTAAACAGCCCTTTACCTTGAGACAGACCAGACATTTGTCAGATCTTTTTTCTACTTTTTCTCTCAGGATTCAGAATCATTTAAATTAGGTAAAATTGAACAAATAGAAAAAACAGCTGGTTGTATTTTTTCTTTGTTTTTTCCTCTGTAGACTATATTAAAAAAAAAATCACAACTAATTTTATGTTGACTGAGCTTTTTCCAAGGTCTTTTAACTTATAAAAAAAATGGAAGAAAGTAAAATAAACTGGTTTTGTATTTCCCTTCTATTTTACTAAAAAATAAACTAAAAATAATTTCATTCCTATTGGTTTCAGGTCCCACAAATTGTCCCTTTTTTGGTCAAAAAGATGAACTACCCCTGGTGGCTTCCAAACAGATTTCTCCTTTTATTTCCCACCAGTCATACTATTTTTTACCCAGCTATAATTAAGATCAACAGGAATATTGCCACTGATGTGAAAGGGAGATGGGTCAAGCAGAATCACAACAATTTCAACTAGATCTCATATGAAAAGGATTTTCCCCCTTCTGTCAAAATGAACAAATAAAATACAGCATTTTTCATCTTTTATAGGTGAAACAGAGGTCACTACCATCCACCAACATTGACATGCTGAAAAGTGGAAAGTTTTGTCATCGTTCCACTTTAAAAAAATCATTGCTAGAAAAATCATGAAAAATTAGGACTCTTTTATGTCCAATTGTTGAAAGATTTTAGATTTACTGCCAACATTAAAAATATGGTTAAGGAAAAGAGCATTACTGGTTTTTATCTGTAGATGGTGACATTTTGGAATGAACATTAAGCACACATCCAAGAAAATCCCATACTTGTAAATACTCAACAAAATGCCCCCATCCTTTCCTTAAGCAAACAGTTTCATACAGTTATGCAGATGTAATCAGAGATTAAGAAACAGGCCTTAGTTTTTCAGATATAAGGTCCCAATCTTAAGTATAAATGCATCCAGCCAGAGTTCTATGTTCACACAGGGTACCACTGGCTTCAGCAGAGCTCCACACAGGCTCAGGTTCTGCTTGCATGGACTAATTACCAGATTGAGACCTATGGCAAGACTTGAGAAAAAAAAAAAATAATTTTAAAAACCTCTACATTGTTCAATATAAAATAGACATAATTTTCTAAATGAGTTTGGAGTCCTTTATTACAGGCCTCTAAAAATTGTTGTTAGGGTTATACATTAAAAATGCTAAAGTAATAAAAAAAAAAAGGATTTTTTTTTTTTCTGTGTTTGCTTTTTTTCCTTCTATGGTACCATTAAGCTATAAATAATTTTAGGATAAAATGCCTAGGTATAAATGAAACTGTTAACTGATCACGTTTGCTGATGTCCCTTTCTCACGCTGCCCGAGTTGATTCCATTAATCCAGCATCTTCTCTTGTTTCTTGCCTTCCTTTTTCTTCTTCTTGGATTCTGTCAAGATATAACAAAAACAATAAAAAAAACCCAGTGTCTAGCAAGCACTGCAATAAATTTCACTTAACACCTGTGGAAGCTCCCCCTTTTTTTTTTTTTTTTTCTTTCTCTCCATGCACATAAGTATTGTTTCCACATTTTGAACAAAGAAAGGGAAAAGAGAAGGAAAAGAAGAAAAATAACAGGAAAGGCGAAGGCAGTAGAGAAGACAGAGAGGGAGTTGCATGTTCCATTCAGAACCCTCCCTATCTGAGGGGCTGACCCTGTTTGGCATGCAAAGCATTGTCTCAGGAACTTGCTTGGAAAATAGGGAAACAGCAGGCATCTCCTGGAGAAACCGGGTCACGGCTCAGTGGAGAGCTGGAAGAAAGCGCTGCACACACTACCCACACATATACCCTTGCCCTGCTTCCTCTCTGTCTCATTGTGAGTCTTTGGCTTTCTCTGAATGTGCCAGCAGCTCCAGAGCATGGGGAGAAAGCTCTCTTGTTTCTCCAGCTCCTCCAGTGCCAGCCCAGCCCCGTTCCCTGGAGACAGACACCTATGTGCACTCAGGAGGCTGGGCTGGGGTCATGGAGCACGGCCTGTCCAGCCAGCTGACACTGCTGGGATGGGCAAAGCACCTGCTTCTCTAACTCATTTAGGGTAAATTAGGGAATGATGGGAAGGTCCAAGTGTTGCACTAGCACCTGCACCAACTTTCACTGTACTCCAGAGCAGTGTGGTGTTCGACAGGTAAAGGAAATTCACAGAGGGACCTTGGAAATTAAGAGGATTAGGTACTCTTGTGTCACATGTCACCTTGTAACAGGGAAAATAACAGCTCTCATGGGGAACATGAGTAAATCCTCATTGATACCAGCACAAAACAGTGCAACAGGTACCACAGAGAGATGGAAACAGAGCTTCTGTGAAACATCTTTCCTGGAACCAAAACAGCAAGCAAGCAGACCCAGGTTTGCCCTAACCCAGATTTCATTAACCAAACCAAGCAAAACTATCATAGAGTCATAGAATACACTGAGTTAGAAGGGATCCAGGAGGATCACTGAGTGCAGCTACTGGCCCTGAACAGGACCACCCAAAAAAATCACACCATGTTGCCTGAGAAGGCTGTCCAAGCACTCCTGGAACTCTGCCATTCTTGTTGCCATGAGCACCACCTCTGGTTACATAACAACTATCACCTTGAATGAGAAAACAAGCACTTAAGGTGGGACTGTTATCTGTGAATATGATTCTTTTCCCTCTGACTCATTTACACAGTCAGGCACAGAATCACCAGTTGTGGTAAAAACAGCTTATTTCTACTGAAGCCAAGGCAACTACACCAACATCTTTCATGTATGGATAGGGCCAGGTACCTCCAGCAGAAGGAAAACTTAGGCTACCACAATTCTCTGATGATTGTTTTTCCTCTTTCCTAGTGTTTCAAACCAACGTTTTTTCTTCACCTGTTATATAAAAAGATGAAAATTATTTCAAATAATCCTTTAGTCAAAGCAAAAAAAAAACAACAAACAACTAAACTTGTTTAGTCATATAAGTGCATCTGAATGTCTGTGGTCTGGAGCTGTTCACAAAATCTGACATTTCAAAAAAGTAGTATTTCATTGAGTTAGTACCTAATTTGCTTTCAGCAACAGCTTTTCCCCCCCAGTAAACTTCCTTAGTACCTAATTTGCTTTCAGCAACAGCTTTTCCCCCCCAGTAAACTTCCTGAAACTGTCCTCAACCTCTTTTACCCACATCCTCCACCTCCTCTAATTTTGCCTCTCTATAAGAATGACCCTCCTGGATTCTATATTGATTGCACTCTCCCTCACACTTTGAAAGAAACAGGGGCATTTTATCAATCAGACCAGCACTGGAACCTGTGAAATTTATTTAGACCCAGCACAAGCAGCAGGGCACAATGCAGACTTCAAACAGATTTAATAAGAGTGAAAAAGACATATAAATGCAGGGAAACTGCTAACAGGACTCTGCTGGAGAGTTTGTGCAGCTCATGGTAGGAATGAGGTCAGCACCAGGAGAAGGCCTGGGCTGGAGTCCTGTGAGTGCACCAGGTTCCCATCCTCACTGGACCTGAAGTACCATACAGCCCACTGCTCATCCATTTGCACTAAATGCCCGTGGGTTCACATCTCTCCCTTTCTCAAGTCCTCCTCCCCTTTGTCTCCCTCGTGGCGATTTGCACGCCATCCAAACTGCCAAACCCATCTACCTACAAAGACAAGTGACTCTGTTTTGGGCCTCAGCAGAGTAAAACTGTGCCAGATGGAATTCCTCCCTCATTAAAAGTACTCACACCATCACAGCTTCATCTTTCAGACAGGTAATCTGGATTGATGCACAGCATATTTGCTCCATGAAATGGCAAGCATACACACAATTGTGGGAGTATTAGAAAAAGAAAAGAAAAAAGGAAACTGCCCAAATATCTCCCAGCCCTTAGGCTCTTTTAAAATTCCCACCACAGACACCAATACCAATGTGCTGACCCATGAAAATGTTGATGTTCATATGCTCATGGACAAGTCTACTCACAGCTACACTATTGTCACCCTGAAAATTAAAGCCTTCTGAAAATGTTTTCATAGTTCCAGTTACTTTCCCATCGAAGTTCTGTAAACATAAGTTATTTATCACATTCCTTCTAAGAAACGTCTTTTCATGGATGTTTCACGTGACCAGTGTGCTTGGCAAGGTGGCAACTTAATTATTAATCCCTGGTCATTGTTGAGAATCTATAAATACTGGAGTCAGAGAATAAAGGTGCCTTCTTCTGTTCTGATACTGAGTGGTGTTCATGTTAAACGTTTTGTGTCCTCTAGCAACACACTCTATCTGTTTTGATTATGATCAGACTATGGTATATCCATGGCTAACAATGTATAAAGTTGCTTTAAGATGCACTTTGCTCGTGTTTTTTCATTTCTCAACATACTCTTTGCATCTGTGTCATTCAGGCTATTATTATCCTCACTTCTGTTCACCCTAGGCTACGATTTCCACTTTTAGGACATGCTGCTGGGTCATAGCCACACTGGGAACCACATCACCCTGATCACCCTGCCAGTGCTACCCTCCCCAGGGTAACCAGGCATGACTGAAAGGGTCACCATGCTCAAAGGGCTGACAAATTGAGAGTATAATGCCAGTTATCTGCCAGCTTATCAGTCCCATACTCCAGCATCAGCCACTTAAGTTAGGGAAAGATCCCCTAAGTAGACTGAGTCCAACAGTCCCATTCAGTTTCCTATTCCCTACGTGAAAATGATCAAAATTCAATTCAGGTTAGCACAGATTGGATGTTAACACCTTTTGTTCAGCCATTTCCTACCAGGCATCTTAATGTGGTCCCATCAGAAATTATAGTCACCCACTAAGCAGAGCCCACTGAGACAGCCTTTACGATGGGGAAGCCACTAAGCTGGTTCCACATCTCAGCAGCGCTGCAAAGCAGCATGACCCCAGCAGCACTCACCACTGAGCCAGAGGGAAGCAGGAAAAGCTGCCCAGTGAGCAAGGACTACCCTGAGCAAAACCCTGCCATTTGCAGGAGCTTTGGCCCTACAGCAGCCTCCTCCACCTCACCCACCCTGCCAAGAGCAGTATTCCCACCGGCAGAGGCACAGATCTGTGCACCAGCTGTCCTTTGCCTTCAGGGAATGTGTGTGCTGCAGACAAGTGCTACCAAAAATACAGAGAGACACTATGGTAAAATCACTTAACTCAAACTGAAACTCAGCTGTGAAACTCACACCAGCCCACACAGAATTTGAAGCTGAATCTATCCACTGCCCTTTTAGCTTTCAAGTTAGGTGGCCCATTTGTGCCAGACACCACTTGGAGGTATGTTTATGAGCTATCTACAGTAGAATTCGGGGTCCAGAGGGGCAGGACCAAAGCAAAAAGCAGGATGAAAATCCTGGATTTCAGAAGAGCAGCCTTTGGTCAGTTCAGGGACCCTCAGCCAGGCTAAGTATCCTGGACCAGGGCACACACAAGGAGCAAATTCCAAATGCCTGGTAGTCCCTGCAGTGTGCAACACCCAGGCATCACACAGCCACTCTGCTCCCCCAGAGCCACCACACTTCCAGCAAGATAAAAAACAAACAGCCCTGCAGGAGCAAACTGTGTCAATGCACAGGCACTGCATTATCTCATCCTTCATCACCAGAATAACAAATTGTCGCAAGACTTAGAATTACCCACAGGATTAAAAACTGGTCATGGATTAGCACTGGACTCACTTTCTGTGGGCTAAGATGACCAATAACAAAAATTCCAGTCAGAGTCTTAGTGAGTAAACAAGTTAATTTCATTAGCAGAACTTTCTCTATGCAATTTGGAATTGCAGCAGTCCTCTTTAGACAGTCATCTTTATTCCAGAACCTCATTCTTACTATGCAAGCAGCAAATGAAAGTAATTCAGTTGAACAGGAGCCACACACCATTTGAAGCCACTCTTAATGTATAAGGCACAAAAGGGAGGTAATTACATTTTAATGGAAGTCAATCTTTGTAAGCCAAGATTTGCAGGTCTTTATTTTCATTTGTTGGAAAGAAGGTAACAATTCACTCCTGGCACTGCTGAACTCCTGTGTATAAAAGTCAAGCAGTGCCCCCAAAAGCAATATAAATTATTCAAAGTAGCCAAAGCTGTACTGATGGAAGGTTAGAGTAAAAAACTTCCAGATCAGATGCTCAGGATACAATTTTCCCAGGGCCTAGCACTCATGCAGTCTTAGTAAGCTCAGAAGAAGGCATGTTTTAGAAAGGTCTCTCCATCTCTCAACTGCAGCAAATTTTCCAAGGCACCAGGCTGCTATGGTGGTAAAGGGCAATGGTGCCTTGGGGTGCAGGGAGCTTCTGAATTCTGGGGATGAAATGTCAGTCCCTGGGGAATGGAGAAGTCTTAACGTTGGTATAATCAATGATTTTATACCTTGGTAAAAACAAATCTCACCTTAAAGAGATTCACACTCCTG